GATCAATGCTACATCTAAAGAGAGGCGCCCAGGGACGAATAGAGAGAATGGAGGAAGGGCGGTATCACCAGAGATAATAGCTGAGAATTTTCCCAAATGATGAAACACGTGCAACACTGGTTTCTTCAGAGTAGACACATAGGAGTAGAATTAGTGGATTATAGGTAGAGTTTGCCCAGGAGGGTCCTGGTTTACACTTACTGTTTTTTTGTTTGTTTGTTTGTTTGTTTTGTCCTTTTTGAGACTGGCCACACCGCGCTCAGCCAGTGAGCGCTGTGAGCGCACTGGTCATCCCTATATAGGATCCGAACCTGCGGAGGGAGCGAAGCTGCGCTCCCAGCGCCGCACTCTCCCGAGTGCACCACGGGCTTGGCCCCAACACTTACTGTTTTGTAATGATTCTGAGCTCCCTTTTCTTTCTGACTGCATAGATTTTGAATGTCACCAAATCCTCCCATAAAAACAAACATAGCAGAACCAACAGGTACAACAAAACTAGGTGACAAAGTAAGCCTGGGAACCTCATGGCAAAAGCCTATAGGGAAAACCCAACCAATGTTCCAGGAGCCACGTGGTCTCAGTGTGTGTGTGTGGGGGGGGGTTGATCTCGAGACCTGTGCTCGCCTTCTCCCAAACTACATGACACCTTATCCTTACCTGGATAAAAAAAACTTGTAGTAGTATTCTTTCCAAAAAAAGGTTTAACTTGAATCTAATTATGAAGGAAAAAGAAATCAGACAAATCTGAAATGTGACATATTTTACAGATAGTTGGGTGGGCTTTTCAAGATGGTCAACATCACGAAAGACCACAACACAAAACAAAAAAGCAAAACTATTCGTCTTAATGGAGAGCAAAGAAACATGGCAAACGAATGTACTGCTTAAACTTGATCAGATTTTGGATTTCAAAAAAAGTTACAAAGGAATTTTTTTGGCTATTGAGAAAATCTAAAAACAATAATAAATAATCTAACTAATTTTTATTATTGAGTCAATGTTATATTCTTAGATACAATAATAGTATTGTGGTTATAAAGTAGAATATGTTGTACATTCTAAAGGATTCAGGGATATAATGTCATGATGTTAGCAACTTACCCTGGTCCAGCAAAAACAACACAGAAACCTATATTTCTTCTGTGATAAATAAGGCAAATGTGCCAAATCTTAACAATTAGATAACCTGGGTGAAGGGCACATGGGTATTCCTAACACTATTTCAATGTTTTTGTAACTTCAAAATGTTTTATTATAAAAACATGAGGGATATTTATACAGTGAAATACTATTCAGCAATAAAAAAGGAATAAATTAAAAATACACAGTACAATGTGAACGAACCTCAAAAACCCTATGTAAAGTAAAAGAAGCAAGACCCGAGAAACCACGTATTGAATGACTGTTTATCTGGCATATCCATAAAAGGCAAAGCTAAAAAGACATCAGGTAGGTTAATGGTAGTCCGGAGCAGGGGTGGGGACAATTGGAAATTAATAATAAATGTGCATGAGGGATTAGACCTCATGAGCGAAGAGACCACCAAGGTGTGAAGAGAGGACAAGAACAGAGGAGAAATAAGGACCAAACTCTGAGAAGTCCCAATAGGAAGGGGTCAGAAAAAGAGACGTCAATGCAAGGTACTAGAAGGTGCAGTTGAGAGGAAAGAGCAAACTCGGAACCCCAAGAAAGAGACCATTTTTAGAAGACAGGGAGGGGAAAAAGGTGAAATACACAGAGAGATCCTGAGAGATGCTGCTGGATCTGGTGATTAGGAGGTGTTGGGTGAATTTAGGAACAGCAGTTATGGTAGAAGGATGACATCAGAAGTAATTGTAATTCACACATCTGCCCAACGCTGGTCTGCGCTGGAGCCTCCTAAAGGGCTCCTGCTTGCGCCCTTCCCCTCCCTGGCCCCTATTCCCCATGCCCCAGTAGCCAGAGTGATCTTCCTAAAATGGAAGTTATGTCACACCACCCCTCCACTCAAACCCCTCCACAGGTGTTCCCCACACTCAGAATAAGACCCAAAGTCTGCACCATAACCTACAGGGACCTGCTGGGGCCTCATGTTAGTTCAGGTCCCTTGAGAAGCAGACACCAAGACAAAATTAGACAGACGAGAACTGTGTGGGGAAAGCACTTGTTACACATGACAGGGAGGAAGTGGGGGCAGGCAGGAGAATCTCTAGTTTGTGAAGGTCTGACATTTGTGGAAGGAGATGGGGAAGGAAGGGTTTAGGTAGAAAGGACCCCTGCAGTTCTTAGAAGTTCTGGCCACATTGAGGGCGTTCTTGAGCCAAAGCCACTCCTTAGAGGAAGAGGCCAGCACTAGGTCTTTGGTCAGGATCAGCCTGGGAGAAGTGAGGCACCAACTTGATGGGCTTGGGATGGGGGAACAGCTGGGACCGTCAATTAACTAAGCCCCTGCAGCACCGCCAAGGCCTCCACACCACTGTACCTCTCAGGCCTCGTCTGCAGCTCCCCTGTCACTCTGTTCTGCTGTAGCTACGCTAGCACTTGGCTGTTCCTCCAGCATCCTGGGCATGTACCTGCCTCAGAGCCTTTACCCTGCTGTTCCCTTTGCCTGGATTGCTTTGCTCTCAGATATCTAGGGGCCAGCTCCCTTACTTTCTTCGGGTCTGTGCTCATATTTCATCTTATCAAAAAGGCATTTCCAGACCACCGTATAAAAAAATGGCACTCTCTGGGGCCGGCCCGGTGGCGCACTGCGCTAGTGCGCCGCTTGGGAAGTGCGGTGGCGCTCCCGCCGAGGGTTCGGATCCCACATACAGACCGGTTCCCGCTCACTGGCTGAGCGAGGCACGGGGGCAACACCGAGGGTTGCGATCCCATTGCCAGTCCCGGTCCGGTACGGGGGCAACACTGAGGGTTGCGATCCGTTGCCGGACACGGAAAAAGACAAAAAAAAAAAAAAAAATGGCACTCTCTGATTGCTATTAACCTTCTCTAACTTTTCTCATAGGCTTTATTACCACCTGACATTGTTCATGTTTGTTTATTTGTCTGTAGCATTTCACAAGAATGTAAGTTTCATGAGAGTGAAAATTTTGCCCTATTTTGTTCATTCATATCTCCAGGGCATAGAGGAGTGTATGTCTGGGCCTGTTTCAGGCCTTAGATAGTTTTTGAATAAATGAATGATGAACACCTATTATGTCCACACAGCAAGTTCTGAAAATATTTGTTTAATGAGTGAAGGAGTAAGCCAGGACTGTTCCAGGAGCTGGAGATATAGCACCAAACCAGACAAAGTCCCTGCCCTCATGGAGCATGCATTCTTTAATAAAAATAGGAATGATTATTAAACACTAGAGTCATAATAAATCATAATGAAAGCAGATGTATCTTGTTATATGTCCCTTTATGCTAGCTTTAGAGGAGTGTGCTGTCATAGAAGACTACCCCAGGAAAAAATGTAAAGACTCGGTGGTCTTCAGTTTTTTTTCTTGTGTTTATGTTTTGATTCTAGAAGTCAGGGGTTGGTTTACATTGTGCCTTAAGCCTTTCCCAGTGGTATCTCCTGATGAAGACATTAACTGAAGTTGGCTTCTGTGGGGTAAATTCAGCGACTTAGAAAGTAAACATTTTCTTAAAATACCAACCCAATTCTATTTAACAAAATCAAGCATTGTCCTAGGTATCTGTTCTAAGCAAAGAAAGGTCATTTCTTCACCAACTGCCATTTTCAGCATCCCCCTCCCCAACACTGTCTAAAGATGTGGGAACCTGTGCTCTTCTTGTGTCATGGGCAGGCAGCGACTCAAAACTTCCATCCTGAGGCTGCACGATGGTCCAGCCGCTCTGTGTGTGCTGGGGCTTGCTGGGCGCAACCTCCACGGGACCACAGACAGGCATCCCACGTGAGACGTAAAGCGAGTTCAGAAGAAGCCGCATGTGAAAACGGATGCCAGATTGCTCCAAAGGTCTGGAAATTTAGGAACAATTTAGCTGGAGCGGGAAGCAATTTTGATGAGAAAAGATTGAGGAAAAGGTACAGCCTATTAAATGGGCCAGGCTTATTGCAAAATAAAGACATTCAGAAGCCCACAAATGTGAGACTGTGAATCCCCTGGGCCTCCTGATACATCCGTTTTTGCATTTAATTTGTTTCCTTATGTGGTAAAAGAGGTTCTGATTTCCTTGTGGAAGTCAAACTCAGGCCTTATTAACACTTACACTCAGACCTGAATAGACCTGGAAGATGGATAGGAAGCAAGATGACAGAGAAGGTGACTACTCGAGCAAATGTATTTGCCATTCTTTTAAAATTTAATTTCCTGGACGTTGCATTTGTGAGCCACCTGGGTGGCCACTCGGTCTGTCGGGCTGCTTCTGGGCTCAGGCCTGGAACTGAGCCACTCCGCGTGCCCAGCAAGCAGGACTGCTCTGGGAAAGTGGATGGGAGTTGATATAATAAATGGTTCCTCATGTGTGCACCCGGGGATTTCTTCTCTCAGCCCTCCTGCTTTTGCTGCCATGACTCTAAGTAGGGCTTACTCCACTGAAACCAGAGGCTGGGAGGAGATCATTACGTATTTCCCCAAAAGAATTAAATTTTGTTCTTCAGGGAAATTGGTAGTGAAGGATGTGATTTTAAACAAAAAAAATTCCTGGGGCCGGCCTGGTGGCGCACTGGATAGTGCGCTGCTTGGGAAGCGCGGCGGCGCTCCCGCCGAGGGTTCGGATCCCACATACAAACCGGCGCTCACTGGCTGAGCGAGGTGCGAGGGCAACACCGAGGGTTGTGATCCCGTTGCCGGTCCCAGTCCGGTACGGGCGCGACACTGAGGGTTGCGATCCATTGCCGGTCACAAAAAAAAGAGACAAAAAGGAAAAAAAAAAAAATTCCTGGCCTTGATTTCTAACCCCCCAAATCCTACCTCAGCAGGCCAGTTTCCTCTTTTTAAATTACAACTTTGAATCTCAACTGGTGCATACAAACCAAATTCATGCTTGGAAAAGTAAATGTACAGGCTGGCTGGTTAGCTCAGTTGGTTAGAGCATGTGCTGATGACACTGAGGTCCCAGGTTCAATCCCTGCACTGGTCAGCTGCCAAAAACAAGGAAAAGGTAAATGTACAAACATATGGCTTCCTCTGCTAACCAAAGCTGAAGTTCCAGTTCAGCACAGTAGTGACGGCAGCAAAGAGGAGACGATCAAAGGACATCCTTGCCTTTCCACTGACAGCAGCAAAGGTCAGAAAGTCTCAGGAGGAAGCAAACCAGAAATGACCGAGACAGTAGATGAGAAGAGGACCTTGAAGTAGCTTTAAATTCACTGCCTGGAATCCCCAACCCCCTCATTATTTCAGAATAGAAACTTGAGTCCCAAACGACGTTGTCTGAGGCTACCAAGTTTAGATATCACCATGGCCCAGACTAGAACCCGTGTCTCTTGCTTCTGGCCATCATGGCTCTGCTCACGTAAATATCTTCCAGAGTCAGGGAAGAAGCGACCGAGCCAAAGCCCAGGACTGGCCTGTGACCGTGCAGAGGAAGGGAATTCACGTGAGTGGACGAGCGGTTGGAGGTGGCAGCGAACTGAGAAAATCTAAAACATGGCAAAGTAAAATACAAGGTAATCTTGTTTTGGCAGAAGCACTGCCTTTTTATTTCTTGGTATCAAAAACTTCATCTTCTCCTGCTGACCACGAAACCACCTGGAAGCAGGAGCTGGGCTCAAATCGGATACCTTCTGCCTCACACCACGTCTCCCCAGGGAGCTGCTGTTCCTGAGAACTTTTCCAGACTCTCAGCTCTAAACAGCTGCAAATCCCAAACCTAAAACTTCTTTAGTAACATGAAAGAAATTGTTTTCAACCACCAGAGCATTGGATGACTTACCAATCCGGAATTTAGTGAAAAGGTAAACCATAAGAATTTAAGTTTTGTGCCTACTTGCCTCTTAAAATACTTGACAGAGTTTATGAAATACTCAATTCTATCCGTTTCTGTTTTGTGTTCCTAAAACCTCTACTGGGTGTGGTGTGGACTGGCATTGCAAAGAAGAAGGCAAGAGAATCATAGAGCTATGTCTGAGGCGACTTTTGTCACTTCCGTTTGGATTTTTCATCTCCTGTAAATCTAACAATATTACCCTTGGTAGATCAGCAGCAGGAATTCCCTTTCTGTTGGGGGCGGCAGGTGTTGTGGAACGGGAAGAGGAGAGCTACAAAGGAAGCCTTGCTAAACCTTCTATTTAGGATAAAGCAGTTTCAAGTCACTTTAAAACAAATACAAGGAGGCATTTATAGAGTTCCTACTAAGTGTCAGGAAGCATGAGACAGGTTGAGTGGGACGTAGGGGGAGTCAGACCCTCCCCTCAATGGGACCCAAAGTCCTCCCAGGCTCCCATAACCAAGTGTAATTAGAAGCAACTAGTCCAAAGCTGCATGGTGGTCTGGGTCAGTATCCCAGATGTGGCTTATCAAAAGAGGCCTGTTTAAACCATTTCTCATAACTGTGCAGCCTTGGCCATTTAAGATAAGTAGCTAAGTGTCTGAGGTTGAATCCTCTCTTTTATACTCACCCCCAGAAGCCCTTTTGTTCACATTGTCCATTGAGACACACAAAGGAGGGTTTAAAAAATAGTTACCCATGAGGTAGCCTCGTCTGGAGGAAGCCTGGGAAGGCTGTGACTCACAGACTATGGTGTCTGTGCGTGCAGGCATATGCCCTGCACGGAATGCAACTACAAGATTGCTGTCTGAGGGACAGATGCTCAGATGGCTACATGGGATGGCACTGCCCTGGAAGCAGGAAGAAGAAGGCAGCATGGTGTCATGGGAGGAGCACAGGATTCTTCCATTTATTGGCTCTGTGATCTTGAACAAGCAATTTAATATCTCAGAGCCTTGGCTTGCTCATCTGTAAAATGGAGATAATTGTTACTATCTCACAGGGTTTGGTGAGGGTAAATTGCATTTGAATGCACTGAGCCCTGAGCGTGGTACAAAATACAGCAGACATTTGGGAAATGTACATTCTGCTCCTGCTTGGCTGATTCTGGCTGCTTGTAACAAAGGAAGACAATAGGAGAGCTACAGAAATACAGGCCATCCATTGTCTTCTCAGATTCTGGCTCTACCAATTAGAGGCAGCATGGTGAAAATGCAGCGATGGATAGGGAGGCAGGAGTCGTCTGTTCTGGTGCTGATTACTCACTTCCTGGCTAGGTAACCTCAAACAAAGTACTTAACTTCTCTAGACTTAATTTCTCTCATCTGTAAAATGCCCTTACATAACTCCCAGAGTGATTATAAAGATAATTAAAGGCATCAAGATTAGAAAGGAAGCAGTAACTGTCATTTGCAGAAAATATGATCTTGTACATTCTTGCATGCAGAAAACCCTTGGGAATCTACAAAAAAACTGTTATTACTCATGAACAAACTCAACAAGGTAGCAAGATACACAATCAACACCCCCAAATCAATTGTATTTTATATACTGCAAAAATAAAATTGGGGGCCGGCCCGGTGGCGCACTGCTACAGTGCGCCGCTTGGGAAGCGCGGTGGCGCTCCCGCCGAGGGTTCGGATCCCACATACAGACCGGTTCCCGCTCACTGGCTGAGCGAGGTGCGGGTGCAGCACCAAGGTTTGCGATCCCGTTGCCGGTCCCTGGTCCGGTACAGGCATGACACTGAGGGTTGCGATCCGTTGCCAGACACGAAAAAAAGACAAAAAGGAAAAAAAATAAAATAAAATAAAATTGGGAAAATAATTTCATTCACAATAACATCAAAAATAATAAAATACTTAAAATATTTAACAAAAGAAGCACAAGACTTACACTAAAAACTACAAAACGTTGCTGAAGGAAATTGGAATCAAAATATATGGAAAAACATCCCATGTTCATGGATCAGAAGACTTAATATTGTTAAGATGATAATACTCCCCAAATAGGTCTACAGATTTAACACAATCACTATCAAAATCCCCACTGGTTTTTTTTGGAGAAATTGACCAGCTCATCCCAAATTTCATATGAAAATACAAGTCACTCAGAATAACCAAAACAATCTTCAAAAAGAAAAAGTTGGAGGACATACAGATCTCAATATCAAAACTTACTGCAAAGCTACAGTAATCATGAGAGTGTAATCCTGGCATAAGAATAGACATATAGATCAATGGATCAATGAAATAAAATTGAGAGCCCAAGAATGAACTCTTGCATTTATGGTCAGCTGATTTTTGACAAAGGTGTCAAAAGAGTTTGGTGGGAAAGAAGTAGTCTTTTCAATAAATGGTGCTGGACAACTACCTCAAACTACACACAAAAATTAACTCCAAATGGATCAGAAGCCTAAATGTATGAGCTAGAAGTATAAAACTCTTAGAAGAAAATATAGGAGGAAATCTTCATAATGTTGGGTTAGGCAATTATTTCTTAAATATGGCACAAAAATGGTAAATGATAAAAGAAAAAATTGATAAATAGGGCTTTATCAACATCAAATGCTTTTGTCCTTCAAGACACCCCATCAAGAAAGTGAAAAGAAAACCCACAGCTTGGGAGAAAAATATTTGCAAGTCATATATATCCCATAAGGAATTAGTATCCAGAATATATAAAGAACTCCCACAACTAAAAATAAAAAGACAAATAACCTAAATTTTAAAATGGGTAAAAGGATTTGAATAGACATTTCTCCAAAGAAGTTGTAAAAATAGCCAATAAATACATGCAGAGAAGCTGCACATCATCAGTTATTAGGAAAGTGCAAATCAAAACCACAATGAAATGCCACTTCACACCCACTAAAATGGCCATAATAGAAAAGACAATAACAGTGTTGATGAGGATGTGGAAAAATCAGAACCCTCCCATGTTGTTGGTGGGAATGTAAAATGGTGCAGACATTTTGAAAAATATGTTGGCAATTTCTCAAAATGTTAAACATAGAATTACCATATATGACCCAGCTATTTCACTCTCACGTGTCTACGCAGGAGAAATGACAACATATATTCACGTAAAGATTTGTACACAAATGTACATAGCAGTGTTATTCACAATAGCCAAAAAGTGGAAACAGCCTAAATGTTCATCAGTTTGTGAATGGATAAACAAAATGTGGTCGACCCATACAATGGAATACTACCTGGCAATAAAAAGAAATGACATATCAATACATGGATGAGCCTCAAAAGCTTGATGCTTAGTAAAGGAAACCAGACATAGAAGCACACATACTGTATGATTCTATTTATATGAAATGTCCTGAAAAGGCAATTCTTTAGAGACAGTTAGTGGTTGCCTAGGCCCGGGGCTGGGAATGGGGAGCAACTATAGGGCATAAAGTTTTTGGGGGGATAGAAATATTCTAAAATTATGTTATGGCAGTGGTTGCACATCTCTGTAAATATACTAAAAATATTAAATTGTACTTTTAAAATAGATGGATTTTATGGTATGTAAATTATACCTCGATAAATATATTAATCATTTTCAAAGATCAATTGATCTCACAACTATATAGATCTATAGATAGGGCCTAATTAGCATATAGAGACTAAGTTACATCCTCCAGATTCCCAGCTACACAGGCAAATACCAATCCCCAAATCTTCCAATTGCAGAATTTACCTACAAAGCATTGTTCCTCCTTCCCAGCTCCCTGGGGGTCTTGCAAACCCTGCTGCTAAATATAAATCCCCTAACCTGATGACTTTTTTGTTTCTTATTTTCTTTAACTTTTCTGTTTAATAATACTAATCTTCATCTATTGAAAACTTTGTCTTTCCTTGATTATTTTGACTCTGCTTGAATCCTAATTTTCATTTTAGGTCTTTGCTAGAATGGTCTTTGATAGCTCTTTACTCCTTCCTTGTCCCCTTTCTTGTCTCTTCTTCCACACTATGTCCACTAAATGCAAGCAAGGTCCCAAATTTCCATCTTTGTAAAAATTTTATTTTAGATTTTTATTTCTTATTAGCATATTCATTCTTACAAATTGGGGTATTTCTTTATGCTCTTTGCCTGACCTATCACTTCCCAACCCCCTCCCTCCCTCTCCCCATCTCTAGTATCCTTAGGTT